GTTCCTACCGCCCCGCCCCACCCCTCCGGCGCAGGCCCGTCACTCGCTGGGGAAGAGAAGCAGGCGGAGCCAGGGCTGTAGACGCTACCCAATCAAGGTGCGGCACTGGCGCCAGCGATGCTGCCCAATCAAAGTGAAGCAATGGTGCCAGCTTCCCCGTCTCCGCCCTTTTCCTATCCTCCGCTTTCCTACGGCCTTTCTCCCGCCCACTGGGCGCTGCTGGCTAGCCCCGCTGCGGAGTAAGCCTCCCGCTTGGGAGAGTGACAACTCCCAATCGGAAGTTACTGTTGAAGCTGAGGCGGCCATAGCTGATAATGGCAAGGGGAGTTTCCTCGCCTTTCGTCTCCAGTGTGACGTAGTTTTTCCGTCGCCCGTTCTCACCGTTGCCCTGGGCAACAGTTGAGCCGTCAGAGAAGCGATGCATCTGTAAGTAGGCCCCAAAGGGGACCAAAGGTGATCAGACATCCAGTGTTAGACAATTTCATTAATATTCCGGTCGACCTGTCCGGGTTGGGAGCGAGAAGGGAGGTTTCCTGGCTCTTACTCTGTAGGCCTTCTGGTCACTTACCAAGGTGGACAAGAGTCTAGGGCTCCGAAAATCCCTGTCCAGCCCGGAAGTTGCATTTGACACTTCCGAATAGGGGTATGGCGGAAGGGTGTGAGTATCCTGCGCCCCAAGCACCCCAGGAAGTGCCCATTCTTGACCGGAGTGGCGAGTGAAGTGAGCGTCCCTCGGCCCGGATCGGTGGGCCAGGCCCGGATGGTAAGGCCCCCAAGGCGACGAAGCGCCGAGCAGGCGAATGGGTTTCGAGCCGCTTCCGCTGGAAGAAGGTTTTCTTTCCGGGCTGGCCAGGCGGCGGCCCGCCCTCCTCCGCCCCTCTGGGGCTTCCTGTGGGGCGAGGCCGCTCCACCGGCCCTCCGCGCCCAGCTGCAGCCTGCAGGGACTGGTGGGGTCCGGGCGCGGGCGGCCGGGCGGAGTCCTGAACACCCGCAGGACTGAGCTGCTGACCACGCCCCTTCAAATTCCTCTTAAGTACTCTCACCCCCTGACCTTTGGAGGACAAAGACTAGGGTGCTTGTGAAAATAATTTTCACTCCCAGTTATAAGGGAGAAAGATGGTCTCTCTCCCACCTCCAAGGCAAGACCTCAGAAACCTTACTTTCTGCCTTCTGTCTGCACATTCTGATTTTTCTCCTTTTGTTTCTCCTCTCCTGGGGTTTGTAAGTTCTGGATGACTTATTACCCTACCTAATCCTTCATGTCTTCTGTTTATTAAACAAGTTAATGCTTGTGAATATTCGTAAAAAATGCCATATTATTTTTATATGGCTCTTTATGAGAGTTGTCACATATTATCTCATGTAGTTCCTTCTGTAGGCTTGAGTCGAGTTGTCTGTCATCTTGGTGATAACTGGATGGATGCCTAAATGCTGTAGGGGGGAAAAACCAGAAGAACTTTCAGGTAAATTCATATCTTTTATACTCAGCCAGTCAACAAGAATAGTATAAACTTGCCTTCTTTACTTAATTTCTTTCTACGTCCGTAGTAGTCATGCTTCAGCCTAAATAAACTAGTCCTGTGTATTCCCAGGTTAATCACAGAAGCACTAACATTTGCAACTATATCCATGCCCTAGTTATTCTTGAGGATGTGCTTCTAGATTCTCCTCAGAAGGGAGAATTGTAATGTCATCTGAGTTTACCTACCACTTTTTGTACCTCTATTATGACAACCACTGTTTTATATATTATAAATTTTTACGTGCTTGACTTCACTACTTATTATGTTTATACCTAGATAAAATGATTTGTGTCAGGTTGATTTGTGTCAGGTTCATCTCCCTACCATCCTATCCTGCATATGAGAGTATTCTGGTAAATGCTTACTGAAAAGTTAGTGTCTCCTCTATGCCCAAGTGCCAACAAAGATATTTGGAACTTTACATTCTCATAAATACAGCATAGTTCATGCTACTCAGCCTTTTCTTAGCTTTCCCCCTGAAATCTTTCCAACAGGATTTCTGTTCCAAGTTTTTGTTTAGAAAAAAATTGAAACATTAACATCCATGTATTCTTTACTTACATACAACTGTTGTTAACATTTTGCCATATTTTATTTCATCTCTACTCATACTCTTTTCATTGTAATCGAATCACCTGAAAATAAGTTACTCACCCCTATCATTAAGCCATACCCCTATTCTTGAAATTTCCTGTATTTCCTAAGAATTAACAAAGTTCTGAAAAACATTGTCACAGTTAAGGAAATTAATAATTTTGCACTATATAAAATCCATTACACTTAAAAATTTCTTTTATACCTTTCCCTGCCTTCCTACAACCCCAAAAAAATGAGTCTAATTATGGTTTATATATTATGTTATTGTAAAGGTATTGTAAAGGTATTGTAACTCTTTAGCCTTAATCCAGACCAGTCCTCCCATCGTTTTCCTTTGTGATGTTGGTAATTTGAAGATTTCAGACCAGGGGTCTTTTTGAGTGTCTCTTTTTTTCTTATTTCTTATTAATCAGAAATTGGGGTAGAGACTTGATTAATTTCAATTTAATATTTTCTGCAAGAATGCTTCTCAGTACTCATACTTTTCCAATCATGATTAAACCTTATCGAATGTAGCTACATGTACTTATGCCATGAGGTGCTAGTGAAGTCCCTCCCACTTCTCAGCACACATACCCTCCTATGGTGGCCTACAAAGCAGAGTTTATCATTTGAACCTTCAGTTTGTAGAGAATGTGTGTGAGTGCCTTGTACTGCCAACACAGACTGTATATCTTTAATAAAATGTTGCTGCTACTTTGCCTGCACTTGAAGCTGATGCAATGTAATCTGCAGCACAGTGTACTGATGTCAGCATAGTTTCAACTCTGGCACCCTAAGAACTGTTGATGAAAGATGTGTGGGCCCTGCAATTCAAATACAGATGAATCTTGATATCATCAAAGCAGATAACCAAGGCAACTGCTAGCCATCTGGCCCTGTTCCAGTTTAGGCGCTGTTATTCTTCTTCATGAAATTCCCTTGCAAGCCCTAATTGGTCCTGGTATTTTTGTGATAGTTTCTTATTCACATTCATCAGGGCCTATTAAAAATTGCAAAATCAAGATTATACTGAACATTTCGTACATTTCTGCAGGTAGAGAGGTGTTTGTGGAATTTACTTCATATCACAAGAGGAAAAATTCAGATTGCCAAGCTCTTGCACTCCTCCTAACCTAGATTTACATTTGATCATGAAAGATAAGTGAAAGGAAGAAGATGCACTTAAGGGAGCAAAAGAAAATGCTTTGGGATGCTTCAAACTATTAGACATGGAATGTTTTTAGCTGTCTGGCTGAAAGTTAGGTAATGCACTCCATTAATCACCGACTTTGTGTAGATGTGAGACTATGAAACTATTGACTCCAGATTCAAGTAATGCAAAATAATATATTAAGACCACAGAATTTAGAATCAGTCCTAGGTTTCAGGAACCAGACCGTTCACTCTTTGGTCACTTTGGGCAATTTATTTGCTCTCTATACTTACCTATTAAACAGAGCCATTAAACTGCTTTGGATTATTGAACAGAATGATGTCAACTATTCATAAAGTGCTTTACCTTGATGTATAGAGCACATTATATGTATCAGTATTGATAATTATTAATGACTTTTAAAGCAGTCCAATTTGGTCACACAGTAAACGTTAGCTATTAAGTTAGTGAATTTAAGACATAGTTCTTCAGGTTTAACTTAAGTTCTTTAAGTCAGGAACACAATTTGAAATTAGAGATTCTGATTTAGTTTGTTTGGGGAGGGCTCCAGAAATAAAATCTTTGTTTTTTTAAGAATTTAAAGAACTAGAACTAGAGTGTAGGCCAGAGGTGTTGGAGGGTGAGTGTATTCACCAGAGACAGTGTGGAGCAGGGCAGGCAGATTGACTGAAATACACTGCTGAGGAGAGGTCTGCTATGCAATGTGGATCACCTCTTGGCAGGGAGGAGTTCTGCTGCAGAGCTGGCTGTAGCTTGATAGTGCTGAGACTTAACCCCTTGCTCCACGGACAGGCCCGGAAAAATCTTTATTTTTAATAACTTTCCAGGGGATTTAGGTGCAGCTGATCTGAGGAGCAGGCTTTGAGAAACACTGAGTAAGAGGTAGCAAACAATTCTTTATTTCCCTTTCCTTGCATTCTATTGAAGTACCTAGCTAAATGCTAAGAATGTAAAACTCTTCACATTTTCAAAAGGTTAACAGCTAACATTTTAAGGGCACTTTGTTATACTGAGTTTTGAAATAGCAAAAATTATTAGAAAAGGGCATTCTGCATGAGTAGAATATTATTTTCTACTACCTTAATAGTACTATTTGCTACTGGAATAAGCCAGATCCAAATTTACCCAAGAAAAACAGCTCCTGTTCTTAGGCCTAGGCACACATTTCAAAAGCTAGACACCACACATTCTATTCACATGAGTCTGAATTAATTAGTCAAATTAAACATGTTGCAACATTTTTCTACCAGCAGATGCCAGTGAGCAAAACAGAATAGAATCTACTATAGTTTCCAACTACTTGACATATGATGTTATTTGGCATCTCTGGATGAACATTATCAATCCAAATTAAGCACTCTGATGGCATGTGGGCAGCCACTGAGTGAGAGTGAACATAACTACTTTGTGTCTGCTGAAAAGCACCTTCTTTATGGGCCTTCTTCACCTTTTTCTCATGTTAGTTTACATTCAACATCTAATGTACACCTGAAAATTCATGTCTCAGTAGACCCTAAGTCTTAGTTACTAAGAAAAAAAATGAGCTTTTTTTCCTGACCATTCCTGCAACCCTGTCTACAGCTTATACTAGGCAGATTGAATTTATTTAAAAAGAACCAGCGTAATAAATATGCACTAGAGAACATAGCCTTTATTGTCCTTTACGTAAACAGAACTGCTGTGGTGCCTCCCTCAGTTCCCAGATACTGTATTTTTGTTTCTTAATTTCCATTATGATAAAATAGCACAGTTTGGCATGTAATGTTGCAATGGCTGTGTGTTTTATGGAAGTGGGAAAGTCAGAGGACTGCAGAGCGGTATAGAACAGTGCGCAGTGATGGCGCTCGGGAGGGAGCTGCCGGGCTCTCCAAACGCAGCTTCACTTTGCAGCCCGCGCCAAGTTTTGCCGTGTGGGAGGGTGGACCTCATGTTGCCAGGTTTGTCAAGAGGAGCTGAAATTTGGACTTTCTGAAATCTCCTGAGTTTTAAACATTGGTTCAAATACTTTTTAAACAGTCGCATGCCAGTCAAACATTTAACTAGCTGGGACCAAGGGCTGATGACCTCTCGTGTTTCCTCTATGAAAATATGATTGGTATTTTGATTGAGAATCACAAAATACTTAGAAATGCTCTTTGTCATCGTTCAGGTGCATTTACTTCTGTAAGTTAGAGATCCATGGACTGTCACCATCCAAAATATAAATTCTGATATACTTTAAGCTTCTGTTCCCTTGATTACTGCCTATTTAAAATTTTGTCCACATTTTCTCAATTCACCTCTTCCCTGGTGTTCTAGTGGTTGGGATTTGGAATGCTCATAATTTCTTAACCCTAATTATATTATGAAATAGAATAATAATTAGGGTTTTAAAACGTACTTAAGAACAATTTGACAGCATATGCTGCTTTAAAAGTAAATAAAACAAGATTTTAAAGGAACACATCTTCAAATAGATGATAGTATCTTATAGTTATCATGGTATTGATGAGAATTCAAAAGATTTTTAAGTACTAAGGTACCTTACTGGGAAGTCTAAAACAAGTTCCTTATTAAAGCAAGAGGAAAATTGGAGCTAGAATAATAAATGTCATACTATATTTCTAAGCACTTTCACATCCACTTTTCATTTGAACCTTGCAACTCAGGACAAATACTAAACATGTTTTTTACGAGAAAATCCAACCTTTGATTGCTTAAGAAATGTATTCAAGCTCACATACTAGTTAGCAGTAGAACAAAGTGCCCCATTTAAAGTAGAAATGTGAAATAGATTGAGCAGGAAAAAATGAAAAAAAAAAGTTCCAGAATAAGTTTCTGTTTTAAAATACATATTAGATTTATCTGTCATAGCTAGTTTAAAATACTGGGCTCCCTAGAATACTTTGAAACATTAAATATCAAACTTTTTAAGTAGGGCTTTTTATAGTTAGGATAAGCCTTTATGTTTAGCTAAATTAATGAAGAAAAATTATGCTGCAATGAATATGATGAGCTAATGGTGGGTTAGGAGTGGTAAGCTCATTTATGGATAATCACACTGATCCAAAAATGACTCCATGGAACTGCTAGCAAAGATCAGATATTGAATTAAGGAGGCTTTAGTATGACCTAGGAGGACAATTTTAAAAACACCCAGTTCTAGGCCTCTGTGGTGGCACAAGGTGTTAAAACACAGCAGTATGAAGCCATCTTCAGCCACTGCAGCGTGAGTTCAATCCCCGACCATGGAGGTGACCCACATGGCACAGAAGACCTCTCCTGTCTGTCCTGCTTCTCCCCTCAGCCATGCACTTCATCAGTCTGCCTGAACTCCCCACTCTGTCTCTGTTGCATATTTCTAATTATACTATAACAAGATCACAGAAGAAAACACAGTATTTTTTTTCCTAAGTTTTTTTCAGGATGGTATCAAACATGACAATTGGAATTGCTGAATTCTAAAGCTAAGAAGAGAGAAAGGAAGAAACACACGTTGATTAGAAAAAGCAGTGCTTTAGTCAGTTTACTGCCCTCATATTTTATCCCAAGATTTGCTATTTGAATCATGTTACTCAAATCCTTTGCAAAGGTCATTAGTGACTTCAAAATTGCCCATTCCTGTATATACTTTAATCTTCATTGGCTTCTACAGACTGCATGTAGCCTGTTCTCCTTGTAGCTCCAACATTTAAACATTTGTGTTCTTGCCATGGGACTCTCTTCTAAGTCCAACCACTCCTCGAAATGCCACTTAGGGGAAATTGAAAATAAGACCAGACTTTAAAGTCAGGAAGATCTGAGTTCAAATCCCATTTCTCCACCTCAACTTTGTGAGGTAGCAAAATAACTTCTCCTGTGTCTGGTTTTAGTCTATGAAATTTAATAATATATGTTTGTACATATGTGTTAGGGGATGCAATGGCAATGGGTAAATGGGTAATTCAATTCATAAGTCACCTCTTGGGATAAAAGCTTTATTTTCAAAACTGTTGCAGAAAATCCTGCAAGATGTTTATATAGTAAAAATGTGCTAAAACTCAGTGTGTTGCTATTAACCAAACTAAAACTTAAGAGGCAGTAAGTTAAGGGAAAGGAATTAAAGTAGATTTCTGGGCACTGAAACTATTCTTCCTTTAAGATAACTTTTAAAACAACATGGGTGTAAAAGGGGGTAGGTGGAGAATTTAAGGCATTTCTACTTGCCTCTAGGTTTTTCTTGATCCTGTTTTAATCGCTTTAATATATGTCAATAGGCTTAACTTTTTCAAAAAATCTGATTTAAGACATTGTAATGGTACAGCCCTGGCATTCATTGACCTCTTGCTAGGTTACAGGGACTGGTATAATGGCTTTCCATGGCCTGTGTTATTCAGCATACCATCTACAGTTAACCCCATTCTAAGCTTTTTTAACAGGTGAAACTAAAGCTTAGAAAATGTGTTTGTGACTAATCTAAGATCCTTCTCTCAACTACTACAGTGTGCTCTTACCCCTTTTTCCTGTCCCCAGCTTCCTCTTTCTAGGTCCTTCCAGCTTATACCTCTGTACCACTGACTATATGCACCTCCATTCCTTTTTATCTCCCTATGGAAAATCCACACCCAGTGACTCTGTGTTCACCAACTTGTGTAAAGGGGTACCTTAATTTTCAAAATTTCTTTGAATTATTTTGGGGGGGAGGGTTACAGTCATAAAATTTCAGGACCTCTGGTTCTCAAGGTTCAAAAGGACACTTTATTGCTCTTACCAATCCTATACCCATAATTTTGTTTGGTTTTTCAAACTAAATCATCCCAGAGATTTTTAACTTGTCTGGGTTATACAATTAATTTGTTATCAACATGTGTATGATTGATTTTAAATAGTAATCCTTCCTAGACTTAAGTGTCTCTCACTTTTCATTCCTATAGCTTAGTAAAATATTTCATGACAAAGATTGGTTTCTCTACAAGTTCTTCTGCATTAATCTTTAACATCCAGCTCAAATGGCTATGGCAGGTTTGCCATTTGTAATGACTTTGAAATGCTCTCCATCAAAACTGTTATCTCTGGGGAAATTACAGATTAGAAACTATAGGGGAAAGGAAGCAACATTTTATGGCCAAATACCCAGACCCAAGGCCTTAAAAAATGATCAGTTCATACTGTATACTCTGAAGCTTGGGTTCTGTTAGTGTCAAAATTTCATTTTACTTCTGACAGCCTTTATCACTGAAAAATCTGCTATAGTATTACATTGTACAACTGTCCCATATTGTAATCTTTGACATACTGCTGAACATTCAAGATTCATCTACTGCTGAAAAATTTTTTACTCAATACACTGCTTTAATCTACATTCTTATTCTTGCATTTTTTACACTTGTACTTTTGTTTCATTGGGGCTCATTACTAAGGTAGAATGCTTGGATCATTACAAAATATTAATGGATACTACAAGAAATTAAGATACTACAGTATCTCTTTAAAAAAAAAAAGTTTTATCAGCAAACTCACTGACCAAGAGTTTGCCCATTTCCTTATACCTTCCCTCACTGTGGCCATTGACCTTTTCACAATTTAAAAATGATGCTGCAATAATGCTTAATGAGAAATAGTGATTTTTCTGTTCCAATTGCAGTATCTACCCCCACAGCAGTCCTAAATCCTTGTATTTTATTTCTATATCACTTCTAGCAATCTGTTGTTTCTCTCCTTTTATGCTACACGTGTAAACTCCCAAAGGACAGTGATTTTGCTTGTAGCTTTTTTGTTCATTAGTGAACAGCATGTGTTGCATGGTAGGCACGCTCATATTTACTAAATTGAAGAACAAAGCACTTGGGCAACACACATGAATTGCAGCCATAGCTGGTATGTTTCTTTCTTGGCCCATATGACCCATATGTCCGTTCATACCTCTGACCTTACCAGTAAGAAAATCCTTTTAGCAGCTGCCACATCTCCTTAGAGCACTTCACATCAGAACCACCACATTGGCTTATTAGCAGGCCACCTCCAACTTCTGAGTTGATTATCATGACAATGTAGCCTTGGACAATGCAGGCCATCCAGCCACTACCTTGGCTTATTTTAGCCCTTCCCTTCCTGTTTCTCTTCTGCCAATGCCTAGGGGGGCCGAGGAACAAGAACCAGCCCTAGGAAAGCAGACACTCCACCTCCCAAGTGAAGGCACTAATCTTCCCCACACCAGGCCCAACCTGCTCCCTACCCAGCCCTTGGCTCAGCAACAGTGGCAGCTTAGTCAAACAGAACTAAGGTTTGGTTGATGACCAAGTTTTCATTATTTTCCTCAGGCCAGATTTTGGATGAGAGTTATACAGAAGAGAAAAGGTAGTGATTAAATTCTGAGTAGGTGGTATTACTCCTCTCTAATGAACAGCTAAGATTTAAGTATTTGTTCACCCAACATTTTAGGACTTTCGTGATATCAGAACTCCTAGCTGCTATTTGTTTCCTTCACATACATTAATAATATCTATCCTTTGCACCAAAGAATCTAATGAATATTTTCATTGGGATGTTTTAATGAAAAGGCTGTTTGTTCTAGCTATAGTCAAGCAAACCAGAGACCTATGTTATTATGAACCTCAGCATAAACTGGGGAAAAAAGGAAATGGTCTTGAGCTGCGATTTGCAGGCCTAACTATCAAGGAGGAAAGCCTGTAGCAGAGGAGCTCTGCAAGGAAACTGTTTTACATTTACCTCAGATTCTAGTTAATAGTGAGTGGCCTTGTTCCTGGTCCACTCAGTCCTTCACTTCCCAGAGCAATGTAGGGGTAAATTTTGATTACAAAGTTCTGGAAAGTGTATAGAGGGTTCCTCAGGAGCCTATATAGATGTTCAGGAAAGAGGCTTGGCATAGAAAGTCACTTTTACTAGGAATGTCAAAGTTGCAGTAGAGTGGGAATACTTAAGACGAGAAACAGCTTCACTTTATTACTAATTTGCAGTGGGCGATGAAAGCAGGCACCAAGCCAGCACTGCCACTTTAAAAATAATAAATCTGTAGTAGTGGTGATGTAGGAAAAAAAAACACATGGTAAGGTTGCATCAGTATGATGAAATCTCACAAAATGGGTGGGACTGTCTGAGAAGCATCTGTATTTGGAATAGGATTTTGCTTCCAATTACAGTTCAGAACACCTTGAATACACAGCATAGCAATAACCTGGGATAGAACACTGAGAACAAATAGCATCAGCCAGAGGTGCCAAATATGCCTAGAATATTCGTAACAAGATATTCTGATGACAGAATTCACTGACATATTAGTGTATATTTCCATAGTAAAGAAAAAGTAAACTGAGAGCGCACCTCATTTCTTACCTGTTTTTGTGCCTTTTTTGTAAATGGCAGCTGTGTACAGCCAGTGAGTGGACTTAGAATGCTTATCATTGTAACAAAGAGATTACAGAAAACAGCTATTGGCTATGGAGAGAAGTGGAACTGTTAGGAAATGTTTACTTACCACCTCCTCCTTTCCCTGCCTGCCTGCCATACTCCACCTCCCAAATGGCCATGCTTTTTACTTCTTAACCCACCATTCAGAAGAGATGCTTTCACCATCCTAAATGGCTGCACATAAATGCCGTTTTTCCTCAGCTGTAACCTATTTGGTAATTGTCTGAACTCCAGCCCTCACTGAGATGGAAAAACTTTAGAACACCCAGCTTTCCAATTAACACTATTGATTAATTAAAGTTGTCAAGATCTGTATGTTTATATGAACAATCTGTTTGTTTCAATGAAGATCCATAAATTTATGCAAAGACAGGGTCTTGCACATACAAGCTCATCTTCTATAGGAATTGGTGCTTTTACTTCTTAATCTATAATGAAAATTTCTCAGGCAATGTGCTTTGGAAATTCATTTTTGAGTAACTGTTTTTTCATTGAAGGAAAAAACCTGTGTCCAAATTCAGATATGGCAGAAGTGAAGTCAGTGTTCCGGGAAGTTCTTCCAAAACAAGGTACCTAAATCCAAAATACTTTGATAGGGACTTAGAGTTAACAGGCAGAGTTACATAGCAGCATCATAGCTGAACACCTTAAACTACTTTGTGTTCTACATGCCACATTTACTGTCCACTTTTACTGTGTTGCTTTCATGAGTAGGTTGTGAGGTAGTCACATTTTCTTCCTTGTACAATGATTGATGCAGTTTCTTAAGCCTAGAATCCTGTTACTCAACTGTAAATTATAATATGAAATTTTCCATTAAAATTTTCAGTAATTAGAATTATAATTTAAGGTAACTTGAATACTTATGTTAACTATCATATTTTCTAAGTATTTTTATGCAATATGTATTCTTTCCAAATATTTTTAAATTGAACTTTTGACCCCACAAGTTGGCTCATGCTAGCTTGGCTCATGCTTAAGACTCTTACAAAAGTTCAAAACTTGTCTTCCTCATCAACTCCCTAGCATTAAGTGCTGCTTTCATACATTTTATATTGCAGAACTTTTGCATAGTAAAATGAGAACATGGAATTGTTTTCAGAAAATCAAAAGTTTTTAGACTTGTTCTAGCTGCAAATCTAGACCACCAAACAACAGGGCTATCTCATGCAAATTCATTCTTTCTTCTTTTTAAACTTAGGGCAGTTGTCTATGGAGGATATAAGCACAATGGTCCTGTGTAAGCCTAAACTTTTACCCTTAAAATCTCTGACTCTGGAAAAGCTGGAGAAAATGCAGCAAGCAGCACAAGATACAATTCGTCAACAAGAAATGGCAGAAAAGCAGCAGCAAGTAACTCACTGAATAACTTACTTCTACAGAACTCCTATTACTGATTAATAGCTAGAAAATAATCTGCATCTGTATGCTGAAAGTATGTGTGTAATAAAACTGAAAGTATTCATATAAATGTAAGAACACCCAAGATTAATAAAACTTGTATTGTGGATTTAAGCATTGTGATTTGCATGAACACAAGCAATTTAAAAAGCTTGAACCCCAATTTTTTAAAACCCACTATTAGAATTGCATATTACTCATCACTATGCCGTTCCTACCAGTTTTATAAATAGGCCCAAATGACTAAAAGCAACTTTGATATTCAGAGAGACTACATACTTACTAAAAACTGAATTCAAAGATACATTCTTATGTAAAATTTTTAAAACTTTTTCATGAATTTTGTGTCATGTCACATTTAATGCTATATTGCCTGATCAATTGATCATAACACTGTTATACTGATTTTAAGGACTTAGTAATTAATACTTTTTCAGGTATCAACTACAGCCCTGAAAATGTAAAGTGATATGAATATGAACATTTAATTTGGAATTCTAGGTATAAAAATCTACCTAAATCTGTATAGATATGTTCCTAAGTATACCTTTGTAAATTCTGAATATGTCTCTTGCTTGGTTTGCTGCAGTCAATTCTAGACAATTTACATTGACATAAATCTTGAGGCCTTGCTGAGTAAATTAGGGTCTGCATGCCAAACAGTTTAGAAAGGTGATCACTTAGATAAATGTTATAGTGGTAGCTACTTCTTTCTCAGACACTGGATAATATAAAACTTCAAACCTTTGAAGAATACTCTTTATAACATTCTGTTACAGAATTTAAGGATGACGGTGTTATGTGTATTTTAGAAATTAAGCTCTAGGTTAGATCAAAAAACAAGTGTACATTCATTTTCCTTAGTATTATATTGTACTTTTGATTTGAAAGTTTACAAGGAACAAAGCTTAAATTCACTAGTTCCAGTGTGATTTAAAGTATGCTAAGTAGAAAAAAGTTTAGGTGATCTAAAATAAATATACTCCCAATAAAGAATCAACACTGCTTCACATGTTTTATTTTTGTCATACATTCTTCTAGAACCAGGTTTCACTTTTCCAGTTTGTAGAAAAATAGATGTTCCAGCCACCATTTTATTTAACTGATTAGTCTTTAAGACTAATCAATATGTTCCCTGGAAAGATAAGTTTCATGACTAACTCGTTTTCTTAAAATTCTTTAAGACAAAGAAATAACTTTTTTTTACTCCCAAAGCACAGTATTTCAACAGCAGCAGCCAACATGGGGTTTTAGCAGCTTAACTTTACCCCCTAAATAAAGCTTTGTATAAACCAGTGATTTTACTACAAAAACACTGTCCTTGAAAGAAGGGTGGCAGTCAGACATCGATGCAAAACTTGGAATGATTAGGTCATAAACATGGCACTTACAAAAGGTAGCTTATGAGAATATTCCACTTAAGAAGTGGTTACTTTTCTATTCCCCCGTTCTGTATTCCAAAAAAAAAAAAAAAAAAAAAAAAAAAAAAAAAAAAAAAAAAAAAAAAAACCCATTTTAACAACACTTACAATGCAGATAAATATAATCTTGTGAGATCTGAGATCTAAAA